CACTGCCACCACCCGCGGGGGCTCCCCACTCGGCTCACCACCGACACTGCCACCGGCTGCTGGAGCTCCCCACTCGGCCCACTGCCGACACCAATGCCTGCTGCAGCTCCCCACTCAGATCAGCACCAACACCACCACCTGCCGGAGCTCCCCACTCAGCCCACCACAGACACTACCACTGCCTGCGAGAGCTCCCCACTCAGCCACCCCCGACACTGCCACCACCTGCAGGAGCTCCCCACTTGGCCCACCACCGACACCATCACCTGCGGGAGCTCCCCACTCGGCCCACCACTGACACTACCACTGCCTGCCGGAACTCCCCACTCGGCCCACCACCAACACCACCGCCTGCGGGAGCTCCCCACTCGGCTCACCACCGACACTGCCACCACCCACAGGGGCTCCCCACTCGGCTCACCACCGACACTGCCATGGCCTGCCAGAGCTCCCCACTCAGCCCACCACTGACACTACTACTGCCTGCGGGAGCTCCCCACTCAGCCCGCTGTTGACATTACCGCCTACAGGAACTCCCCACTCGTTGCCACCACTGCTACCACCACCCCGAGCTTGCCATGCCCCCCCCCAGCCTCTGGAGGCACACAGCGTTCAAGCTTGTGACCCACTTTGGAGTCACAACCCACGGGTTGAAAAACACTGGTCTGGAACAGTGGTTCTCAACCTTGTTTGTACCAAGACCCATTTGAAAACATCAATGGCCAGGTCCGACCCAGTGCCCCTCAGTCCCAACCCTCTGCCCCCAGTGTACTGGGGCAGGGGGTGGGTGAGTGGGATGTGGGGCCCCCCAAGCAGCCCTTTGCAAGCTGCAAGTCTACCAGCCTGCAAGGGACAAGCCAAGTTTCCCATGTTTTTCTCTTTTACAGGAGAATCCCTTTTTCAAGTTTGTTCTCCACCCTTTCATATATTCTTGTTGAGCCACTTTTGGGTTGCGACCCACAGGCTGAGAAACCCTGGTCTAGACCAGAGAAACTGGTATAAGGGGGAGGGATGCACTAATTTGCAAACCACATAGAGGATGTAAGAATTGTAAATGGTTTGCTGGAAGGATGGCTTGGGAGAGGTCTTGGAGTGTTTGTCTGGGGACCTGCACGCCTCAATCTTTTCATTAATGACATGCATGAGTGGGGTTTGGAGCATACTTGTTACATCTGCAGATGACACAAAGCAGGGAGGAGCAGCAAGCACTGTACAGAACAGGGTTAGATTACAAAGTGATTCTGACAAGTTGGAGAAATTATTTTAAATGAAGAGGGTGAAATGCACTAAGGATAAGTGCAAAGTATTAGGCTTCGGTAGAATGATCCACTGGACAAATACAGAAAAGGGAAGGACTGACTAAGCAGCAGAAGAATGATAGTGTGAATCACAAACTGAGTCAGCTACTGCATCTTATATTGCTGGGAGGGAAAGCACAGTGTATCGGGTTGTTCAAGCTGAAGTAAGAGCTTCGAGCGCAGCAGACTAATTCTACTACACATTAGTGTGGCAGGCAAAATCTGTCCGAATGCACAGTAGAATTAGTCTACTGCACATTAGCATCACCAAAAAAAGTGTGCGCCACAGCTAATACGCAGTGGCGCTGATTACAGGCATTAAGGTAGTACCTGTAATTACAGGTACTAAACTTAACATGCCATAATTATGGTGCATTAATGAATGTGTAGACGCACCACGTGTGTCTTTTCACTTTATTCAACACTGGTAAGAGTCAGCTGGAGTATTGAGTCTTGATACGGGCACCATACTTAAAAAAAAACATGGACCGATTGGAGAGGAGAGAGAAAAATCCTCAGACCTAGGGGGGAAAAACAGAAACTGGGATCCAAAAATTTGGGTTTCTTTAGTTTAAAGACTTAGGAGAGATGTAACAGCAATTTTCAAATATATAAAAGGTCCTGTAAAAAGGAAGGTTATAAACTATTCTCTATACCCACAAGGTAATGGGCTAAAATTTCAACAGGAAAATCTTTCTAACCATAAACAAAGACAAGCACTGAAATAAATTGCCAAGGGCATTTGTGAAAATTTCCTCAATGAAGGTTTTAAAGACGAGGCTAGACTAATATCTGTCAAGAATGGCATTCATATATTTGATCCTGCCTTGGAATAGGAGAAGGGAGTCGATGACTTTGCAAGGTCCTTTCTGTAAATCTAGAAGATTAAAATATTATTTTGCCACAACTGCTTTAGTGCCACAACTGTTTATGTCCTTTTCAGATGGGAAGCAACATTATTCAAATAGAATTCTAACCACCACTTTTATGTGAGTGACCCATCATTTACCCTTTCCTATATGCATCCTAAACACCTCCCCCTTCAATCTCTGATGCCTTTACCTTTCCTCGCATTTGAAGCCTGACTAATACCCCTTTTCACATCAAGAATTAATTCAAGGGCCTTTGCACTGTAGGTTCCCAAGGATTGCTAGAGCTGTTGGAGCAGGGTTTACACCAATGGTTATAAAATACAGAATAAGATATGTTCCCTGCTGGAAAGAGTTCTTCAACTGTGCTAGATACTTATATATTTATACCTTGCTATCACTTTGTAGTCCTGTAACACCTTGAAGTGCCAGGCATGCTATCAATATTGTTGAATTAAAAGAGCTTGCCTGCAAGTAATATTTCCGATATCAGTAAAATGGAGATGACTAATTCCTTGGCAGATGCAGTGTACGTAGTTCGTAATTTTTGTTTTTAATTCTTTAATAGGATGAAAGCCGCTTGCTATGAAGATAGGCAACGTGTCAATAATATTTGAAACTTCTATAGAATCTGAGCATCTCAAAACACATTACAAAATGTTAACAAAGTAATCTACACAGAATTGGTTAGATGAATTTTCTCTGTATTTTCCAGCTGGGTATATAGACAATGAGCCATTATATTTATGTACAAAAGATCACATGTTAGTGTGATCGGTCCAAGACAGCACCCAGAAGTCCTTCCGCTTTAACTTGCAGAGAATACGTCTTCATGACCACCTCGTATAGAATTGCTTAAAATTAATATCATATTCAAAACAAAACAAGGCAGGCAAAGACTAACCTGGAAAAATTTTCTACTATCTGGAAAACACAATACATCCCTATTTCCTTTTTTTTTTTTTTTGGTTAACAGATAAATGCAACCAAACAATTGCAAAGTTGATATTCCTTTATGAGGATAACTAAGTCCATCACTACTGACACTGTGGTGGGGAAATAGATCTTATTATCAGGGTGCAGCCAGAAAACAGTACTCCTGACTTGGAGTGAGTGACAACAAACTGACAGGCTAATAATACCATCAAGGTCTGTTTCACCAGAGGAACAATTAAAGTCTCAAAACACCTGTGAAAAATCAGTAATGAAATACTGCAGTTTCATATGTGGAGTAGGAACAGAGGATGTTATTAAGTAAAAATGATTATTAAGTAGAGATGGTGCTTTCTAAAATGTTTAACAGAAAGGGAGCAAGTCATGGGCAAAGGCACAAACAGAGCCCACCACTGGTGTGCTTTATATATACTTTTATACTTGTGATAACAGAAATAGGGAAAAGTCAAAGGGTAAAACAATTCCCTGAGGATGAAAAGCCCAAAAGCTTGCAATTAAAGAACTTTTTTTGCAAAAACCTGTTGGTCTAATAAAAGATATCACCTCTACCGTGAGCCCTGATTGCTGAGGATGAAAAGGTGATTGATGAATTCCAAGATGCTTCTTTTTCTCCCTCCTTTTTGATATCAATGTCATTTTGTGCTTCCAATGGAATGCAATGTCTGACAATTCAGAAGGAAGTTACATGCAGCTCAAATGCTCTCTGCCATTGCTATTAGCTTACAATCAGGGCATTGCACCATAGAAACTAGTATTTAACCAAATTAGAGTGGGTGTGGTTTTGTTGTGTAACTGGACACAGCTAGAACAAATACTTAAAAATATATGGGTGTGGAACTGTTGAAGATTATGCAGCAAACTAAAGAACATCCTTACTTGTCAGTTTACTCTTGCATTTACTCTAGAGATCTACAAAGCTCTGTCCAACTCGGCCAGAAACAGGAAACTACCAAAGACATAATAAGCCAGTATACAAAGGGTGTGGGGCTATAAAGAGAGAAAAGAGTCCTGACAGAGATGTTAGTTGGATGAAGCCTTATTGCGTAGCCCCCACAATTCACATTAGGCGCCACCACGCCCCCAAACCCCCCATGCTGGATCCACTGTCTGCAGCACATGCTTGGGATCTGTATTGCACTTGCCCTAGCTGGTCTGGGACCTGTGCTACACACAGTGTCCTGCTCTAACTAGTCTGTGATCTGGCG